TATTATCTATATGACTATATATAATTAGGAAAATTTGTGTCTATTCGCGATGACATTGTTTTTTACGGAAAATGCTACAATCCCGTTACGGAATCATTCCGTTGAGATTGTAACCGTTAGATCATCAAGTAACCGTCAATGATGCTTGATCTAACGGTTACAAATCCCAACGGAATGGTTCCGTAACGGGATTGTAGCCTTGCCCGTTTTTTACTATTAGATCAATAGTTGGGTAAACAAAAGTGTGTGATTCAACAATAAAAAAATTAATTAAAGTATTGAATCTACTGTTTACTTACAACTCTTGATATTGTTTTTTTCTTTTGAAAAAATCATGCTACTGATACTCAATTTTCTGTTTTATAAAATTATAATAAAGGTTGCTATATTTTTTATTTGATTATGTATCACCTAATATTTGTATGAATTTCGTCTAGTCAATCTAACCTTCAGTTATATTCGGTCAACCTGGAGATCACTTCTTGTAAAGTTGACAAAAATTAATGCAAAAATATTTACCAAGTCAAGGAACAATAATAGAAGAACACAAGCGGAGGAGTGATATAATTTTATAAATAGAACATATATTTATATCCAAAAACAATTACTAAGAATAGAATCGAACATCTACATAGATAAATCTAGTAGGAAGATATCCTCGTAACTGAATCTACTGAGAAGACATCCAACGTAAATATTTCTTATTTTTGTGTTTAGACAGTTCAATTCTTATAGGGCAACCAAATTCCTCATTGAATTGATACCATATGCATTGGATAACACATTGGGGAGCCCAACATGATTATATGTATATCGAAGGCAAAAATCCATAACATTCTATAAAGAGTCAAATTTCCAATATGTAATAGCATCCATATATAGGGTCACGCTCCGGTGAGAATGGTCCTTAGTGAAAGAAATGAGAATAAATCGTAGCATCAGATCGGATGATCTAATGGGTACAAAAAAGCCAAAATTATACACTCATTAAGGATATTATGGACATTAGTGTTACTCATTCAACTAACCAACTGGGACCCACGCCAGACTGTTTTGAGGAAAGCAGTCTGTCGACTTTTTGAGGGGGGATTTTTAAAAAATACTACCCACAAAATCCCCCCTCAGAAAGTCGACAGACTGCTTGCCTCGGAACAGTCTGGACTCTGGCGTGGACCTAAAAGGGCTGCTAGCAAAGAGAGGGGGAAGATGAAAGAAAGGGTGGCAAGAGAGTCGTCCTCTTTCTTTTTCTATGCTTCTGCTTTTCTTCCTCTTCCTCTCTTATTCGATAGAGGGATTTTAGGATTTAGGTTGAAGAATTGGAACAATGAAAGAACCTCTAAGAGATTACCATCTTAAAGGGCTTTCATTGAGGAAGGGTGTAATTTTTAATCCTCAAAATTCCAACTCGTCTTTGAATGACACAGCCAACAATAATATTGCAATTATTGGGCTACCCTAATATTAAGCAGGCGGATTACCTCACCTGGGTCAAGGGTCACAACGTATGACTATAAGTTAAATCAAGACATAGAATAAGAACAATATTAGAGATATAGTTATTACATAGTCATAGAATAAAGTGTTCCTGAAAGAGAGAAGTCTATGAAATAAGACTTCGATTATTAAGAGGAATACTATGAAATAAGTATTCCTTATAATCATATTAAAAAGAACAGGTCAATGAAATATGACCTGAGGAGATGGATGAACCATTGAAGTGAACAGGTGCTAAGGCACCGATAAAATACTGGTCGAAGACCAGGAAGACAGGCGCACTGCACATTTTCGATTCAAAATCCCACTAAAGCCAGCGTAAGGGTCTACGTTTTACATAAGCCACCAAAGTCCTTCGGTTGAACTGATTATACGTTATCGGTTTATCATTTGGGATAAAGCACGATGATGGATAAGTATTGCCTCTAGGAGATTGACAACACCTTACGAACTTTAATGGATGTAGTGCATCCATCGAAGAAAAATCTTCCATTTGGCAGTAAGTCTGTTATATTTGGTGGCAATTTTAGACAAATATTTTTTATTGTTCCTAAAGACAGTCGAAGTAACATAGTGAATGCGACGATCAAATCATCCAAGTTGTGGCGAGATTGTACCGCTCTGAGATTGACTCAGAGCATGAGGCTTTGAAGCCTTAGTGGGGGTGATGAGTACAACGAGCTTAGGAGTTTCTCGGAGTGGCTTGCAAACATTGGCGACAGTACAATCGATGGACCGAACGAGGGTCTGCCGATGTTGACATTCCCGATGATATTATTCTAAAATCACAAGGAGGTCCTATTGCTACTATTGTTGAGAGTGCCTATCCAATATTCAAGAGTTCAAGTGACAACCTTAGCTATCTGAAGGACATGGAGATACTCGATCCCACAATTGATGTTGTTGAGTCCGTTAACGGATATATGAGTTCATTGAACACCTTCGATGGAATGACTTATTTGAGTTCGGACACTGCTTGCCAGTCAGATATTAGATCTGATATTTTCATGGTCTTCATTTCTGAATGGGATCAAGTGTTTGAGACTTTCGAATCATAAATTGTACTTTCAAAGTGTAGCATGCGACTGTGGTGGATGGGCCATATAAGGTGGACCAGCCTGCCAAAATAGGCCCAATAATATATCACACGAGTATAAGCACTCATTTCTTAATTGGGCCCTTCTTCAGATATTTTTGGCTACGCACCACGGCACTAGTTGTGCTCCAAACACGCCTATCAAATTCCTTTTCAACAATTCAAAGTGTTTCCTCTACTTTCAATAAAATGAAATATCATCTGTTCAAAACAAACACACAATATATAAATAAACTAATTGCTTTTCAATAACAATATATTTAATCGTAAAACAAATAAAAGTCTAGTTACAAAAATAATAATAATAATAATAATAATAATAATAATAATAATAATAATAATAATAATAATAATAATTTTGAAATTAACATATTGGCCGACTGATATCTTTCATAAGTATTAGCTAACTGTGAGTCTGTGAATCAATTTATTTCCCTACTTCCACAGAATTTTTAATTTACCATAGCCGATTTTTTTTATATTTGTTTGTTTACACTAACTATTTTGGATGAATTTAACTATTAATTTGAATGAATTCACGAGCAGATAGCACAGATGTTTGTGCACGTGGCGCCACTCTGTGCGTAGAAAGTGAAGCCGTGAAGGACATAATAATTCCGTTATGGAGAGGAATTACATCGCCTACACTACTAAAAAGTCAAAAAGCTGAATAGATTTTTTTTAACTGTTCACATCTTACTTTAATTTGTGCATAATATTGTATCATTATCTCAACAAGTAATAAGATTTGTGAATGGATGTGAATGTTAATTGGTGAAGTAATTTTCAAACTATCATGAGTAGATATATTGTGTTGAAAAAACTTAACTGGATAAGGCATATTGAAAGCCATATAATTATGTATCATTATTTTTTCTTATGATTCTAAATCATCTTTAATCTAGTATAAATAAATAGTGTTATGTTAGTTTGAAATTGTCAAGAGAATGAAGTAAAACAAAGCACATCTTATTATTGATCATTTTTATTCTCATGTGTCTAAACTATCATTAATCTAGTATAAAAGGTGTCATATTTATTCTCATGTGTCTAAACTATCATTAATCTAGTTTGAAGTTATAAAGAGAATGAAGTGAAAAAATAGTCTACTGTATCAATTCAGAATGAAAATCTTATAAATAAAATTATTTTATCGTAACTTCCACATTCAAGTGGGGCACGTGTATAATAAATAGCTTCTTATCACCCAACCAAATTAATGAATTTAATTTGTGAACATACATAACAATAAACATGAATATTAATAATTTATCAAAAATAACTTCTGGTCATATTTGCTTGGTTGTGCTGATATTTTAATTGAAACCCTATAATGCATATCTCTATCATGCACTAGACTACTCAAGATCCTCGACCTCGCCAAACTTCACCCCCATTATAAAATTCTCGTAATGAAAGATGTGGGGAGATTTTTTCTTTAAATATTTTCATTTTTGAAATATATAATATTTTTTTTCTTTAAATTAAAACATGATTCTCAAATTTTAGTCTACACACTATTTTTATAGATCAAAGAGCAACTTCCGTCAATAGCTGGAAAACTTGACTCAACAATGATTACATCGAGATCTGAATCGTTAGATCAATACATGTGCGTGCCGGTTTATGTATGTGCACGCATGACCTGGTGATTCAACATCATAATAAAAAGTTGTTAATATTTGCAAACATAAGTTAAAATCATATCAAGATCAAATCAAGCTTTGCATTCACAAATATTTGAGAGAAGGGCAACCATGTAAAAAAGAGAAAGAAGGAGGCAGCTCGTATACAAAATTTGGAGAATGAAAATTAATTAGGGTTACAAGAGTCTAATATATATACTAACGATCTAGTACAAAAGTCGCCACAAAGTAAATAACAACTCTCGTGTTAAAAATTCTAATACTAAATTTGCTACAATGCAAAATAACAACTTCTTATTAAAATATACATGATTTCTTACATAACTATTTATATATATATATAATATAATATAATCAAATGTGATTTATTTATTTATTCCAAGTCTCCAACTCCTCAAAAACTCATTATTTTTCTTCACGAGACCATTGCAATATAGAGAATTAAAGAAACAAAAAAAGTTGAGCAGGGTTGTGACATTAATGTTAGGCAAAAGGTGGTGGTGCAACTCATTTGTGTGGATATATACAAATAACTTTTTGGCCAAAAATCTTCTCTTTCGGACAAGTGCACTCACAAAAGGCCCTCACAACTATATATATATATATAGTAGGCAGCCTCAATCAATTATGCCAAACTCCACAACCATTAAATCATCATAATTCATAATTATACCGCTTGCACTATAGAAATCCAACATCCCATTTACTAGGGAAAAAAAAAAGAATAAAAAATAAAAAAAAAGTACAAAGATAAATTGTTGAAAATGAGCATGAGCAACAACATAGTTTCCAAATCCTCTTTAATTCTCCTAATTCTCTTCATCTCCATCATCTATTCTTGCGCGTATAGAGCCCACGGTGCCAACAAGCCCGACTCGTCAGAGATGTCTTCCGGGCCTAGCGGGTCGCCCGAAACTCCTACCGGAGGCAGTGGCTCGGCCCATGGGCCGAATTGGGACTATAGATGGGCCTGGGGCTCGAGCCCAACATCCGGATGGGGTTATGGGTCGGGCTCGGGTAGATCTAGTGATGGGTTTGGAAGGGGATTCGGGTTTGGGTTTGGGTCGGGTTTGGGTTCCGGGTCGGGTTCGGGCTATGGTTATGGTAGCGGTGGTGCTCGTGGAGAAGGCCATGGAAGCGGCTCTGGTGGGGCGGCTCCCGGCGGAAAAAACCGTTGAAAAAAGTGAAGGGTTTTTTTTTCTGTATGGAGATGTTATGATTATCGTATATGATGATATATAATATAGTTGGACTAATATTAACAGTTCGCATGAACGTACTTTAGTTGTTTATTGCAAAATAGCATCAGATATTTGATGCTATAAATATACTTATGTGATGTATAATGTATGTTGTATGTATGCACGGTTCGTGTATTATAATGCCACCTACTATTGTATGTTTAATTTATGGTCTATTGTGTTGATTTATCATTGTGTGTGTGTGCGCGTGTATTTTCCGTTTCATATCTATATCTATATCTATATCTATATATATATAATAAAAATTACTATTTACCAAAAATAGTAAGTCAAAATTTTCAGTTAACATTTATTACATGTCATTTTCGGAATTTATTCTTCTTATTTTAACATTACATCTGCCAACAATAAATGAAGCCTAAAATTGGGGGATTTTATTTATCCATAATATACAACTTTAAAATCCTTTGGCTTACGGATATGCACTGAACATAGGCAGCGGGGAAGAAATTCTGGGATATAAGGCTTTTATTTTTTATTCCAACAAATTTGGAAGCAATTTTTAATTTTTAGTTTTAGATAATATCAGAATGTATACAACTTCTCCCAAAAAATCTGGGTGTATTATTATAACAAAAAATCCTAAGGCATAAAACTTCACAATCTGTCTAATTTGTTTCCAAAATTTATCTGATTCCATAGAAAATCGGTCCAATTTCAAATTTAAATTTAAATTTTAAAATGCCATATCATTTGTTTGCCACAATTCAGAATTTATTTTTTTTCTTTTTTCAACATTAATTCGGCCAGCATTCAGTTTATAAAGAGTAAACCGTCAATTCACACATATATGAACCAATAACGTATTTGTATTAATCAGTTTATAAGGAGTAAACCGTCCATTCACACACATATGTTATTCGATATAATTACTATCACAATATTTAATAAATTATTTTTGATACTCAAAATGGTGCACATGTTACCGTACTTTTTAAAAAAAATAATGTAAATGTTTTCTGAAACTGTCATATGTGATTCAAATATTAACACCAAATATTTTTACAGACAATCTCTTTTTATTTAACGTATTGGTGAAATATGATTTAGTCAACAACTAGATAAGTCTTTGAATTATTTTAATCTATCTAAACAATCTTTAATCGAAAAGACCTCCTATTTTTTATATAAATAAGATTACGAGATATACATGATAATCAGTTAAGATCTTATGTGACATATAAATATATAAAGATCTTTTTTCAAACCAGTAAAAATTAATATTTCAACATATATATTATAGCTCTATAAGTCAAATTCTACAATGCACTGCCTGCAACTCTAGGTTAAACCTTTATACTTGAGTTTCTCTCTATTTAATATTCAATCCTCACCATGTTTCTAATCAATTTTTTAATTTATGTTGAACAACAGCAAATCGAGAGAAGGAGACATATAACACAATGCAATGGACTGCAGACAAGAGATGTAATTCAAAAGATGATACCCCATTGTGTGCAAGAAACAAGAACACAAACAGAAAGAAATGTCGTTCTACAAATAAAGCAGATCGAGAAAACTCATCCCAGGAAAAATATTATCTAGAATGCAATTAGATGACAATTCACTTCCAAGTAAATAGTTTAACTCAATTTTATACATGACTCGTGTTTTTGTAGAATATGAGAACTATAAACATTGTTTATTTATTTTGCCAAACGTTTTTGTAAAATACGATAACTGTAACAATCATTTCACTTAATTTGATGCATGATCAAACTATTTCTAAAAGTACTATTTTATTTTGTAATTTAGGAAATAAACAAAATCACAAGTTAATTGAATTTCATAGTAACAGTTGATGGAAGAACTTGAAAACAAAACATAATAGTGAAAGCAAATCTCATCAATTTGGTATACTTTAACAAAAATGATACATTTTCATGTTATATATGAACAATGAATTCAAATATGTTTGAGAAATTTATTCCACATATTATTAAACCTGTTATCAAAATATATACATCAAATTGATTCATATGAATATAGTAGAATAGACAATTTTTATGATGCAAAGAACTGTCTAATATGTATGTTTATATTATCAACATGAACAAAAACAATATAAACATGTTATTAATGTATACGAGCATGTAATGTATATTTGCTGGATAAAGTCTTACAGATGAGTAGCATAGCAACACGTCTATCTATCTATCTATATATATATATATACCAAAAATTGTAGCAAAAAAATAGGTCATAATTTAATGCAGCCTATAAATAGTAAGTTTTATTATTTTTCTTATTTTTTTCTTTAAAAATCATATAACATTAAATACTACCTTAAATTTCGGGCTTAAGTTTATTTATTATTTAAAAAATCCTGTTAAGATTTATTAAGTGTGTATGTTTTTATTTATATTTTTTATTTGAAAACAACGAACAACATTAAAATCTCGGTCTCTATATTTATAAAATCTCAATTCAAAATATAACAAAAGTTTTAGATTCTCAGTCTTTATATTTATGCCTTTAAAAAAATATTGAACACTAAAAATATTCTTTAAATTGCATAATCGATCAATTAATCTTAATTTTTTTAAAAATTACTCTGTTTATTTTTTATTAATATGCATAAAGTAAAAATAATTAATTCCTCTTTAGATATATAATTTATAGTCTTAATATACTGTCATTTGGTGTAGACATTTATTATATGAATCATAAAAATTTTTTATTTCATAAAATTAAATATTATTTAAAGAAAATAAGAAAATTTCTTCAGAGTGATTGAATTAAGGTACTGCACATGTTGATTGAATTACTTTTAGGTGATATTTAAAAGAAAAATAGTACATAACAATGTACATAGAGGTGTACACTTAATGTGAGTGTTATGTACACCTCTATGTACACTATTATGTACCTATAACATTTCTCTTATTAAAATAGTCAAAAAAATTTAACACAACTTGGTTGGTCACATGTGACTAAGTTATGTATCAGTTCGACCACACCAAGTCGATTATTGAACTTAAATATAAATTTTATATTGAAAATATTTTATTACGCGAAGGTGATGTAGTCCAAACTTCAAATAATCGTATGAACAATACTTTTATGACAACATGTTTAATGATTTATGAATATTTATATATATTTTTATCAAATATTTATGTGAATTAAATAATATTTTATTATAATATTTATTAATGTACAGTAAGTATAATGTTTTTAGAACTGGACCGTCATCGAAACGATTAAGATATTTTATTAAATCATTTGTGGTTTATTCAAATTTTAAGTTATATGCATTTTAATATATATATATATATTTTTCATATATATAGTATTTTTTGTAATAAAATTAAATAAAATGTGTTACTTAGATATCTAAACAATTTATAAATTCAAATGTTTAAATTAATTGATAAATAATTTATAAATCTCTAAATCGCATTGATCCTACCAGTCCAACCGACTGGTGTTGACGGATTCGAGAGCAAATATTTTATTCAAGCGAATTAGACTGGTTATAAATCGGTTCTCGGTCCATTCGGTCGGACTGTGTCCAACCCGGTTTAATTTAAAAACAATGAATAAATCATGATTATTATTTATATATTTAATTTATAATACAATCGTAATATTATTTTCTCGTGAATCGTAGTTAGTTCAAAATTAATAATCAGACGAAGCAAATGTTTGTTTGATTGAAATGGAATATCGTTCATTAAAGTTATGGGCTTGAGACTCGGATATACTGGGCTGCTTTAGTTTCGAGCCCACTAGCAACACTAATTCATAGTAAACTATAAAAACTTTGAGCTGTGGACCTGTTTTCTTCACTTTTTAAAGTTTGGAATTTGAACCATAATGGCTAATAGTATTGGAATTGTACATCTCATGCAGGGCTGTAAATAAATCGGGTCGGGATTGAACTTCTGATAAACACAAGATCTGGGATCAAACCTTATGAGCCGAGCTAATGAGTTCGAGCTCCACCTATTAACAAGCCTTAATAAGTCGATATATGATAAAAAATTTAGACAATTTTAAAAACAAAAAAAAATTCCTATTTATTAAATCTAGTGAACTTTAACGAGTCGAACTCAAGTCATCTCGTTATCTAAATGAGCCTTGAATGTGATCAAGCTGACGAATAACTTATTTTATTTAACAACTCTGATCACGTGTGACACTAAAATATAACGAAAAACGACAATGTAATTCATAAATGAGCCATACTTGGCAAGAAAAATATTTACTTCAAAATGTCGTAATTTTTATAAACAATGCAAAATTAAATATTTAACACATTTAGCAATTTGAATGCATATGTATATTGAATTGAACTCAAAGCTGATTGATTCAGAGCAGTTCTACAGACTGCATCAAAATCCTATTAGTCAATGTAAATTTCCACTTGATCTTTCTAGTCGTTGGTGTAAATGAGTAGAGCCGAACTTCAGCTAATAATACCGAATCATGAGCTCGAGTTATTAACGAGTTGTGTTGAGCTTAGCTCTTTTACTTGCATTCTATTTACAAGTGGACGTGTCAAGCCCCTATTGGGCCAAACCAACAGTTACGCCTCTTGTTCGTGTTGATGACAATTGGACGACGTTACTATCCAATTAATACATATAAATCTGGTAGTCCAATTATTATATAATTTAATTTATATAGCGTGTGACAGGGGGACCACTCATTGCATTCAAGTATTGTTATCACGAATTTTTGTTTCGGTATATTATTGCTATACAAATTTTAATTTAAAATATATACGTATATTATAATTGTTCTTATTTATGTTATTTATAAAATATGACATTCCAATTTAAGCATTTATATATCTTATTGAGTCTTACTTGAATCACATATTATGTGCATTTATAATCATATGTTCTTTCGTATCGGACATGGCACCTATAGAAGGCTCGCATGAAAACTCACATGGTTTGGGGAGAAAAGATCTCATCTTTTCTTTTTCTTGTTTTTAACATGCATGTGCATCTGTGTAATTTGATTTATGGGATATAAAATTTTAATGAAAAATATTTTTAGAGTGAAGTATCTATTTTTTTTCCCTTACGAAATGTAATATATGTATTTATTATTTAGATGAATACGTCTGAGAAAATTCATATGGAAGGTCCATATCTTTTAGTTACCTCTAATTCATTTAATTATTTGTAAATTGAAATTATAGGTTTTTTAGGGAATGTCCTTATTTTGAATGACCATATTGTTAAATATATAAAAAGTATATAAAATAAATAATAACATACGTACTTGTCTCCTTTAAGAGGAGCAAAGCACCTTGCCACAATGCTAAGGCATCACAAAGCAAACTTGGCACAGAGAGTCCAAGATTAGTTCTTTAAGCAACCATTTTTGCTATTATTACATCTTCCTTTGCAAGTGCAAGTTACCATTATAATGCATAAAATGGCCCAAACATTGCATCTTCCTTAATTTAAATATTTAATAATAAATGGGAGACGTGTCATGTTGCAAATAATCACCCTTATTTGATGTGACAAATTTCAGGTCAAACTAAAGTTTTGACTTTTTTGTCCTTAGACTCCTTAAGAAAGAAATTGATACTCGATTTGAAACTTCAATGGCTCCATAATGACATAAATCATCAATTTGATCATATATGCTATTATGCAGACCGTAAGAATATTTTTTCAAGGATAAACTACTATGAGATAATTGAACAACATAAAGGATAAATAAAAAAATAATTTGTAAGTTTAATAGTTATTGATTTTAAAAGTTAAGTAATGTGTATAGTAATAATTAAGATCTTGACAAGTGTTGTTATATCAAACTTTATGCAATCCCTTATGCCATTGTAGTATGATGATTTTTTCAATTACAATATTTTAAACTAAAATATTATATTAATAAATAAAAAGTCAACATCTCATTTCATTAAAAAAATATTTTTGTTTAAAACATAAGTGAATTTGCTGAAGCGATTAGATTAGTTTATTTACAAAAAAAATGTGTTTTCAATAAAAATGTTATTAGACTATGTCTAACAGTTAGCTAATATTTTTTTAATATATATGCATATTTTATAATTAAATGTTATGGTCGAAAAATATCATAAACAAAAATATGATATTTCATATAGCTTACATATGTATTTTTGTTAAAAAGTATAATGGGTTGATCTGTCTAACGGTTAGACACTCACAATTGTTATACATTTCAACTATTAGAAAGTAAATCTACCAATCCCAAAATATATTCATGTCGACCACTAGATGGTATCTATTTCCTACCATATAAATTTATTCATGTCAAACAAAGTAAAAACAGGGTAGAATAAAAATAAAAAATAAAAAAATCAACACAATATACATCAAATTATCTACATTTAACTAACTATATTTACTATTTACAAAATCAAATGAACCAGCTCATTTTCAATCCTATTTCCGCGTCACACCTATATAAATAGCACACAACACACAAACTCTTTCAACTTCGTGATGTGAAAAAAGCCCAATTAATAACAAAATATATATATATTTATTAGCTAATAGTCCATTAATGGCAGAGTTGCAAAGCTCTGAGGTGATTATGAAGGTCATAAGGTTCCTATCTTCTCTCCTCCAAAGAGTTGCAGAGACTAATGACGTGTTTGGCTCGTATGGTGCTCGAAAAATCTCGATTTTCCACGGTTTGACTCGGCCCACAATCTCGATAAAGAGCTATCTCGAGAGGATTTTCAAGTACGCGAATTGTAGCCCGTCTTGTTATGTCGTGGCCTACATTTATCTCGACAGGTTCGCGCGAAAACAGCCTTTGATGCCGATAAATTCGTTCAATGTGCATCGGCTTCTCATTGCTAGTGTTTTGATTTCTGCAAAGTTTATGGATGACATGTAAGTTTTCTTCAATTTCTTAATTATATGATTATTCTTTTTTTTTTGTTTGTTTGGTTATGGAGGCAATGAATGCATGATCTCTGTTCAAGATTTGGATTTTTATTTTATTTTTTTTAAATTGTGATGGTTCTTGTTGATGAAAATAGTAAATATATATCTTTATATATTTGTTTTTTATATTGTTTT